CTACGCACCTACAAATAACGCAGATGAAGAGAAGAAGGAGGAACTCGACAGACAACTGCAATCAACACTGGACAAGACGTCAGTTGGCGACATCAAAATTCTAATGGGCGACATGAATGCCAAACTGGGGGGGGATAACACAGGAAGAGGACTAACCATGGGTCGAGAGGCGCTAGGTGAAATGAACGAGAATGGAGAATTGTTTGCAGAATTCTGCGCATTCAACGATTTGGTGATTGGAGGCAGTGTGTTCAGGCACAAAGATATCCACAAAGCGACATGGATTTCACCAGACACAGGACACACTAAAAATCAAATCGACTTTATCTCAATCTCAAGAAAATGGAGACGCAGTCTACTTGACACAAGGTCAAGAAGAGGAGCAGATGTAGGTTCACACCACTCACTATCTAGTGCAAGGAACCTTCCAAACCAAGTTAAAAGCCTTCAAGGAAGCTGGTGACGGACCTCAATTCAAGTACAACACTCGGAACAGAAACTGAAGGATGAAACTACAAAGGAGATCTTCACTTCAGCCATCAAGACAAAATGGGAGATATCGAGCAACATCCCTGAAGAAACCTGTGTGGAAGAGCACTGGAAGTCTTTGAAAGCTATGTGGAAAGAAACCTGCACAACAGTATTAGGAAGGAAGAAGAAAGAAGACAAGGAATGGATCTCGACGGATGCCTGGAAGCTGATAGAGCAGGGAGAGGAGGATGATGAAGCAGAAGATAAACCAGTGCAGTGCAAGGATGCTCAACGACAAGAGGAACTGAGCACAATGTATAAAACACCGAACAATGAAGTAAAGAAGAGTGCACGCAAAGACAAAAGACACTTCTACGAAACACTGGCAAGTGAAGCAGAACAGGCTGCAGGCTGGTAGGAGAGACCTGACAACATTGTATCAAATAACCAGGTTACTATCTGGGAAGAGATCAATACAGATGAAACCAATAAAAGATGAAGAAGGAAATTTAATTACGAAAGAAGAGAAACAGAGGAAACAATGGGCCGACCACTTCAAGAAGCTCTTGAATCGACCACCACCTACACTTCGTCCAGAAATACCACCTGCAGCCGCTGAATTACAAGTGAACATAAATCCCCCAACGAAAATGGAAGTCCTGAACGCCATAAAGCTACTGAAATGCGGGAAAGCAGCAGGACCAGATGGGATCCCGTTAGAAGCACTGAGAACAGATGCAGAGACAACAGCGGACATGCTCACACCACTATTGCAGAAGGTGTGGAAGGAAGAGAAGGTACCTGACGATTGGAAGAAGGGTTACCCTGTCAAACTTCCGAAGAAGGGAGACCTCAGCGCTTGCAAGAACTGGCGCGGAATCACTCTCCTGTCCACCCCAAGTAAAATATTAAGCCGCATCATCTTGGAAAGGCTTAAAGACGCACTGGATTCAAAACTGCGACCGGAACAGGCAGGCTTCAGGAAGTACAAATCATGTGCTGACCAAATTGCAACGCTTCGCATCATCATAGAACAGAGCATAGAATGGCAATCAGCTCTCTACCTCAACTTTATCGACTTTGAGAAGGCCTTTGACAGCGTCGACCGAGAAGTAATTTGGAAACTGCTTCACTACTACGGAGTACCGCAAACCTTTATCCGCCTCATTCAACAACTATATGAAGATGCCACATGCCAAGTAATTCACAATGGACAGCTCAGTGATGATTTTGAAGTGAAGACAGGAGTGAAACAAGGTTGCCTACTATCCCCCATGATATTCCTTATTGTGGTGGACTGGATCATGCAGCAGACAGTAGGCAGCGAGAAGAGGGAGATACGCTGGACGACGGAAAAGAACCTAGAAGACTTGGATTTCGCCGATGACTTGTGCCTAATGTCACACAAACTTGAAGATCTGCAGGCAGAAACTAACAAGTTGACAGAAGAGGCAGCGAAGACGGGGCTTCAAGTGAATATAGAGAAGACAGAGGTGATGAAGATACCGCACCACCACCACCAACAACAACAACAAACTCCAGTCACCATCACATTGACGGGAGAAACTTAAAGGAAGTAACCTCCTTCACCTAGGAAGCACTGTTTTAACTGCAGGCGGGACAGATGAGGATGTCAAAGTCAGAGTCGGAAAAGTAAGACTGGCGTTGATTAGCCTGAAACCAGTGTGAACATATTCTGCACTCAGCATGCGGAACAAGATACGGATTTTCAACACCAACGTCAAGTCAGTGCTCTTGTATGGCTCAGAGACTTGGCGCGTCACGAAAGGCATTTCCAATAAACTACAGACATTCATCAACAACTGCTAACGCTGCCTCGTTACTGAAGATCAGATGGCCAGAAATAATAAGCAACAAGGAGCTCTGGGAATGAACCAACCAAGAACCTATCACGCAACAAATATGCAGGAAGAAGTGGAGATGGATTGGCCATGCACTGAGAAGGCCGACGGAGGACATCACGCGCCAGGCCCTCGAGTGGAATCCCCATGGGAAGCGACGAGTTGGACGTCCGAGGGTGACATGGAGAAGGTCGTGCGAGGAGGAAATGAGAAATTGTGAGCTGTCGTGGAGCCAGGTTCCAAAGATCTCAGAGAACAGGATGAAATGGAGATGTGCTACTGAAGCCCTATGTTCCACTAAGAACCCAAGGGACTAGTAATAATAAATAATACCACTAAAACCACCACTAATAACACAGCCACTACTACCTCCAATACTAACAACACTACTACTATTATTAATACTACTACTAATACTAACAACACTACTACTATTATTAATACTACTACCACTACAACTACTACTATTGCTTATAATAGTGCTACTGCTGCTACTACTACTACTACTACTGTTAATACTATTACTAAAACTACTGGTATTACTAATACCACTACTAATATTATTACTACTACTACTACAACCACTACTACTACCACAGCCAATACCACTACTACTTTCATTATTACTACTACTTCTACTACCATTATTACTACGTCTAGCACTACTACTACTACTATTACTAATACCACCACAACTAATTCGACCACTAGTACTACCAATAACTCTACCACTACCATTGCTGACATTACCACTAATAATACAAATAATAATACTAATACTACCGCTCATAATACTACTCCTACTGCTACTACTACGACCACTACTACTGCTACCAATATTATTACTACCAATACTACTACTACAGCTAGTACTACTGCTACCACTACTAACACTACTACTATTACTACTGCTACTACTGCTACCACCACTACTACTGCCACTACCAATATTATTATTACTAATAATAAAACTACTGCTACTACCACCGCAACCACTGCCAATACCATTACCACTTCCACCACCACTACCACCGTCACCACCACTAACACTACCACTAACTCTACCAGTACCTCTACCGCTACTACTACTACTGCTAATACTACTAATAATAATAATAATACTGCAAACAATTATGCTACTACTATTACAACTACTGCCAATAATACGATTGCCACAGACACAACTACTAATAATACTACTAGTATTATTATTATTAATACTAATACTACCACTACTGCTACCACAGCCACTAATTATACTAATAGTAATACGGCTAAGATTATTATTAATACTACTTCTACTAACATTTACACTACCTCTACCACTACTACTACTACTACCACTACTTTTACCAATACCAATGCTGCTACTCTTACTACTACTACCAATACTACTACCACTACCGCTATTACTACTAGTTTTACTGCTGCTAAAGCTACTAACACCGCCACCACTGCCACTACCACTACGCTAACATTGACACTACCACTAACACTAGCACTAACACTGCCACTTACAATACCACTACCAATGCCACTATCACTACCACTACCGATACCACTAACACTACCACGGCGAATACCATAACGAGTACCATTACTGACATTACTACGACTACTACTAATAATACTGCTACTACTGCCGCTACTAATACTACTACTACCGCTACTACTACAAGTGCTACCATTACTACTAATATTATTACTGCTACTCCTACCACTACCACTAATCCTACTACTACTGCTACTCATGATACTACTACTACTACTACTACTTTTACTACTACTGCTACTGCTAATATAACTACTCCTGATACTACTGCTACTACCAACGCCACCACTACCACTAGCACTACATCAACATTAACACCACCACTAACACTATCACTGACAACAACACTAAAACCACTACTACAACTGCCAGTACCACTACCACTGCGAATAGCACCACCACTACCATTACCACTACCGCCACCACTACAAGTAACACTACAACTACCATTACCAGTACCGCTACCACTACCACTACTACTAATACTAATACCACTACTACTGCTATTTCGAATACTGCAAATAATACTGATAATACTAATACCACTACTAACATTAATAAAATTACTGCCAGCACAACTACTGCTAATACTACTACTATTATTATTATTGTTACTACTACTACTACTACCAATAATACCACCACAACCACTAATAATACTAATACCGCCGCTGCTAATATTTTACTATTACTACTACCACTACTACTATCACTTCCTATACCCCTAATAATACTACCATTATTACTACAATAACTAGTACTACCACCACCACTAGCACTACCGCTACCAGTACCACTACGACTACCGTTACCACTACCATCACTGACATTACTACTACTCCTCATAGTACTACTAATACTACGACTGCTACCAATACTATAATACTAATACTACTATTAGTACTACTAATACTACTACTACTACCACTAATAAAACCACCACCAGTACTCCTACTTGTAATACCAATATTATTACTACTACTACTGCGACTACTACCACTACTTCCATTACTACTACTACCACTACTTCCATTACTACTGCTACCACTACTACTACTACAACTACTACTACTGCCACTACTATTACTACCACTACTACTACTGCTACTACTACTACTACTACTACTACTACTACTACTACTACTACTACTACTACTACTACTATACCACTATTATTACCACTACCACCATTACTAATAATTCTAATACTGCTATTACTACTAACACCGCCACCACTACCACTACACTAATATTATCACTACCACGACCACTACCACTAATAATAATACTACTACTACTAATATTATTGTTACTACTACCACTACCGCTATCACTAATACTGCTACTGCTACTACTGAGATTACCACTACTAATATTATGACTAGTATTACCAGTACCACTAACACTTCCACTAACACCAACACTAGGAAAACATTTACCACCACCATTACTGACATTACCACTGATAACTCTAATAAAACTACTACTACTACTATCACTACTACTAATACTATTACTACTGCTACTACCACTACCATTGTCACTAACACTACAACCGTCACTACCACTACCACTACCAATAAAACCACCACTAACACTACCAATACCACTAACACTAACAGTACCACTACCAGTACCTCTTCCAATACCACTACCTCTAAAACTACCACTAACACTAGCACTACAACTAACACTACCATTGCTATTACCACTATCACTGCCACTAACACTCACGCTAAAAATACCACTACCGCTACAACTACCACTAAGACTATTACCGCTACTACTACCACCACTACTACTATAACGCCAATAATTCTGCTACTACGCATACCTATACTACCAATAATATAACTACTACAACAACTACTACTACTAATATTACTACTGCTACTATTACTACTACTAATACCAATCCTATTAATACAGTCACTACTAATACTACTACTATTATTATTACTACTACTATTAATAATACTACTACTACCACTACTACTACTGCTAGTAGCAGCGCTACCACTAGCATTACCAGTACTACTACGATAAAATTAACTCTAGAACTACCACTACAACCATCACTACCAATACCACCACCACTAACACTAACACAACCACTACCTATTCCAAAACCACTACCTCTCACATTACCACTTCTAATAGCACCACCAGTAACACTAACACTGCCATTAACAATACCACTAACACTACTGGTACCACTAACACTAACATTACCAGTATTACCGCTAGTATTGCTACTACTACTACTATCGCTAATAATTCTGCTACTACTAATAACACTTCTACCATTATTATTATTACTACTACAACTACCACTAATAATATTACCACTATTATTATTACTGCTATTATTACTACCACTATTATTACCACAGTCAGTATTAGTACTAATGCTACTACTACTATTATTATTATTATTACTACTACTACTACCAATACTACTACCTCTAGCATTACTACTACTAGTACTACTATTATTACTACTACTACTACAACTAATAATACCACTAAATTTATCACTGACAGTACCACTAACATTACCGGGATTATTTCTACTACTACTAATAGAACTACTACTACCACTACTACTATTATTATGATTACCGCTACTACTACTACTACTACTAACATTAATATTTCTGCTACTACTATTACCACAGTCACTACTACTACTATTATTATTACTACTACTACCTCTAGCATTACTAATACTACTACTACTACTATAATTACTACTACAACTACAACTAGTAATACCACTGACATTAACACTAACAGTTATACTACTATCACCATTACCGTTACAGCGAATAATACTAATACTACTAATAGGACTTCAACTACCACCACTATTACTACAACTGTTATGATTACTGCTACTACTACTACTAATGCTAGTAGCAATGCTACCACTCCCATTACCAGTACTACTACAATAAAATTAACGCCACCACTACCACTATTGCTACCACTAACAGTACCATTAACACTAGCACTACCACTCCCATAACAATTACCACTATCACTAATACCACTACTACTACTACTACTACTACTATTGCTAAGGCTAATAATTCTGCTACTACTAATAGCACTACTACCATTAAAATTACTTCTACAAATATTACTGCTAATATTACTACTATTACTATTTCTACTACCACTACTACTGCTTCTACTACTACTACTACCACAGTCCCTACTACTACTAATACTACTACTGCTATTATTATTACCACTACTACTACTACCAATACTACTACATCTAGCATTACTACTACTACTATTACTACTAATACTGTAACTAGTATTACCACTACCATTATCACTAACAATACCACGACCATCACCACAACCATTTTTGCGATTAGAACTACTACTACTATTTGAATTACTACTACCATTACTACTAATACTACTAGCAATACTACTGCTATTTACACTAATATTACAAATAATAATAATAATATTACTACTACTACTACTATATCCAATACTGCAACCACTATCACTACCCCAAATACTGCTACTACTACTATTAATATTAGTAAAATTACTACCAACACTACAATTGCTACTAGTTCTACTACCACTACTACTGCTATTAATACTACTACCACTACTAATGCTAGTATCACCGATACCACAACCATTACCAGTAACACTACAATAAAACAAACGCTACCACAACCACCGCCACTACCACCATCAATACCACTTCCAATACCACTACCGCTAACACTACCACTACCACTGCAATTACCACTGCCAGTACCACTGTCACTGCCACTCTCACTAACACTAGAAGTATCCCAACCACTACCACTATGACCGCTTCCATTACTACTACTACTACTACTAAGGCTAATAATTCTGCTAATACTAATACCACTACTACCAATAATCTTACTACTACAACTAATACTAATATTAATATTACTACTATTACTACTACTAATACTACCACTATCTTTGCCACAGTCACCACTACTTATAATACTACTATTATTACTATTATTATAACTACTATTAACCACCTCTAGTACCACTACTACTACTATTATTACTACTATTACTGCTTATATTATGATTAGTACTACCATTACCATTATCACTAAAAGTACCACTAACATTACCACTACCATTACTGCGATTACTACTACTGCTACAAATAGAAATAGTACTGCGCTACTACTAATACTACTACTTCTATTAAATATAATAATAATAATACTCGTACTACATCCAATACTACTACCACTGTGACTACTCCAAATACTGCTACTACTACTAATATTATTACTAACATTACTACTAACACTGCTACTTCCAATACCACAAATACTAGTACTACTACTACCACTACTACTATTACTACTACTACTGCTAGTAACGCCGCTATCACTTACATTACCAGTACCACTAAAATAAAACTAACACGAACACTACCACTAACAAAACTTCTACCAATGGCAGTGCCACTATCACTACCAATAACCCCACCACTATCACTGTCGCTGCCACTACCACAAACACTACCAGTATCACTACCACTGTTACCGCTACTACTACTATTACTTATACTAAGGCTAATAATTCTGCTACTACTAATACCACTTCTACCATTAATATTACTACTACAACGACTGCCATCAGTAATATTATTACTATTACTACTACTTCTATTATTATTAATACTACTACTACCTCTAGCACTACTACTACTACTAATACTAATATTTGTACTAGTATTATAACTAGAACTACCACTACCATTATCACTAAAATTACCACTAGCATTCCCCCTACCATTACCGCGATTACTACTTCTACTACTAATAGAACTACTTCTACCGATACTACTAATACTACTACTAATAGTACTATTGCTACTAACACTAATATTACGAATAATAATAATATTACTACTACTACTACTATTACATCCAATAAGACTACCGCTATCACTACTCCAAATACTGCTACTACTTCTATTGTTATTACTGATTTACTACTAACATTATTATCACCGATACCACAACTACTACTGCTTGTAATACCACTACTTCTGCTACTACTACTACTATTATTATTGCTAGTAACACCGCTATCACTACCTTTACCAGTGCCACTAGAATAAAAATAACACTACCATACCACCCCACCACTACTACCACCACCATTACCACTATCATTACCACTAAGACCACGACTACCACTTCCAATACGACTACCGCCAACACTACCACTGCCACTAGCACTACCGCTAACAAAACTACTACCACTAACACGGCCACCACCATCACCAATACCAATGACACCACCACTACCACTTCAAGTACCACTACCGCTAACACTACCCTAGCACCACCACTAACACTACCACTGCCATTAACACTACCAATACCACTACCACTTTCAGTGCCACTATCGCTAACAATACCACTATCACTAAAAGCGCCCCTACAACTACCACCACCACTACTAATACTACTACTACTAAGGCTAATAATTCCGCTAATACTAATACCACTTCTACCACTAATATTGCTACTACAACTACTACTACTATTACTACTATAAATATTACTACTACTCCTAATACCACCAATATTACCACAGTCACTACTAGAAATGATACTACTACTATTATTATTACTACTACCACTGCTCCTACTTTAACTAGAACTAACACTAACCTTATCATTAACAGTACCACTAACATTACCACTACAATTACTGCCATTAATACTTCTACTACTAATAAAACTACTACCACCCCTACTACTTATACTACCACTAATACTACTACTGCTAGCAACACTACTATTACAAATAATGGGAATAATAATATTACTACTAATACTACATCCAATATTAATACCACTGTCACTACTCCAAATATTGCTACTACTAATATTATCATCATTAACATTAACACTAACACTATTACTACCAATACCAAAACTACTACTACTACTACCAAGACTACTGCTACTACTACTAATAATACTACTATTACTACTACTACTAATGCTAGTAACACCGCTGCCACTACCATTACCAGTACCGCTACAATAAAATTAACACTACCACTGTAGCGGCCAGAATCCAATAATCTTGGCCTGAACGCGGGAAATAGCTAGGCGGTGCCAACTGACGTGAATCTGACTAGTTCCTGCGTTCTACTGTATAGCTTCCTAACTTCCGCGAGTGACGCACAGTCAAAGGTTGGATCGAAATATCAAAACACGGTTTGTAGTAATTCAATAGTAGATTCGTAACAAAATCTGTGGTACTAAAAAAAAAAAAAAAAAAAAAAAAAAAAAAAAAAAAAAAAACAACAGTGCCGTTGGGTAACTATACAGTCCAAAACGTTCTCGGGTACAAATACGTACTAAAAAAAAAAAAAAAAAAAAAAAAAAAAAAAAAAAAAAAAAGTCGGTCAATAGGAATATTCCCGGCAAAAGGGATCAAAACTCTGCCTACAGGAATCAAATCAACAAACAAACGTTCCCAGTAGACAGTCAAAAGACAAACAGTCAAATCACTGCACAACCGTAAGTTGAACCAAAACAAAATGTCGTGCGCAGTAAAACAACATCACCTTATCAACAGTCCAGCGTCACATAATAGGAAAGTGAAACACTCATAATAAGTCTCAAACATACAAAGGCAAATACCGAGTGTAAAGTCAAATAAGACAGTTAAACAAGCAAATAACATTACACCGGCGAGGGTCAAAGGTACACCATCCACAACGAGGGTAAAAATGTTAAAATAAATGTCAATACAATCAAATAAGGGTGATCGGGAGGGATTTTCAGATCATTTTTCCTTTACACCGGCCACCAAAATCCCTCCAGACACGCAAAA